TTTGGTTTTTCAAGACAGGGTTTCTCTGTGGCTTTGGAGCCTGTCCTGGAACTAGCTCTTGTAGACCAGGCTGGTCTCGAACTCACAGAGATCCTCCTGCCTCTGCCTCCCAAGTGCTGGGATTAAAGGCGTGCGCCACCACCGCCCGGCTTCGTTGTTTATTTTAAAAGAATTAACATTTAGTGGCAGGAGGTTTTCTGAGTTCCAGTACAGCCAGAGCTACACATAGAAACATTATCTCAAGAGAAAAAAGATATATTAAAAAAACTAATGTCTTATCAAGAACAACAAGGAACATTCAAATCACAGAGATAAGAATGACTGTTCTAAGATAAGCAGGGAAGAGAAGACTTCAGAAATAAACAAAAACAAGATGGAGTGGAATGACTCAGCAGTTAAGAGCACTCGTTCTTTCAGAGGACCTTGGTTTGGTTCCCAGCATCCACACAGGAAATTGCCATCATCTATAAGTCTAGATACAGGATCTTTTCTGGTGCTTTCGTCTGGCTTCTGTGAGCACTAAACACAAGCAGTGAATCCATGTAGGCAAAATACATACATACATACATACATACATACATACATACATACATACATACATATATATGTATATATATATATAATTTTTTTGAAATAGGGTTGGAAAGATGGCTTTAAAGAATATACACTGCTCATGCATTAGACCTGAGTTCAATTCCTAGCACCTATGTCAAGCAGTTCACAACCTACAAAAATTCTAACTCAAACGAGATCTAATGCCTCTAGGCTACCTCAACCACTTACACTCACATTGATATATACACACACACAATTTAAAATATTTTTTAATTTTTATTTATTATGTATATAGTGTTCTGCCTGCACGTGTGCCTACAGACCTGAAGAGGGCACCAGATCTCATTCTAGATGTTTGTGAGTCACCATGCGATTGCTGGGAATTGAGCTCAGGACCTCTGGAAAAGTAGTCAGTGATCTTAACCACTGAGCCATCTCTCCAGCCCTAAAATAAATATTTTTAAAAAGTAAACAAAAACTAGCACAGTCATAGCAACTGGGTCCTGATATACAGGAAATACGTAATACACTCTAAAAGATACTCTGAAAGGCCACATCATTAACACTTTCCTTGAAAAGTACCCAACACATATGTACCCTCCGTAAACATTTTTTTTTTATAGAAAAAAAAATCGCCCATTCTGCTCAAAGTAAAATATATCAAACAAAAGGAAAGAGGCTTGGCACACTGTTAGAACACTGCTGTAAATTCTATACTGAAGAAAATCATTCCTTTGTCCTATTTTTTAAAAAAGACTGATCACCCCTGTGAGCACCCTTCAGTGCCCCCCCCATTCCTGAAGTCTGCAGTGGGAGCCTCCAGGCTTCTGAGGGGGCCAGTCTCTAGTTTCCTGGTTGTGGGTGCTGAGAATTTTAACCCTAATGTTCACCGTTTTTTAATAAAAGTATTCTTTTTGGCACGTACTGCTGGTTATAATAACCCTAACATGTTCTGATGTTAAAATAAGGCATTTAGCTGGGCATGGTGACCTAATCCTTTAATCACAGTACTTAGGAGGAAGAGGAAGAGAAAAGGTCGACAGATCTCTGTAAGAACAAAGCCAGCCTGGTTTACATTGTGAGTTCCAAGCCAGCTAGAGCTACAAAGTGAGACCCTGTATAGAAATAAAAGCAAACCAACCAAACAACAATAAAACCCCAACCAAACAGAAAGATCATTTATGTATGCATAATTAACCAGGAATTCTTCCAGGTAAATGTGCTCCCGTGCCACCATGTATTAAGAACAGGGTTACTACTAGCCAGGTGGTGGTGGCACATCTTTAATCTCAGCACTCTAGAGGTAGAGGCAGGTGGATCTCTGAGAGTTAGAACACAGCCTGGTCTAAAGCGAGTTCCAGGACAGCCTGTTAAGTAGAGATAACCTGTCTCAAAAAATGAAAATAAAAAACAAAAAGCAAGGTCACCACTATAGAAGGATTTAATGTGAAAACTCAGAAAGAACTGAGAAACTACCATTTATATGTTCTGTGTAGATTTAAAAAAAAAAAGGAAGCCTGTAGCAATAAACTGAGTAAAATCTTCTCTTAGTTACTATCACTAACTTGGTTATAAAAAACACCAAGACCAAAAGCAAGTTGGAGAGAAACAAGTTTATTTTATCTGGCTTACACTCGCACATCATAATCTTTCACAGAAGGAACTCATCAACTGATGTGATTCCCCAACCTGTCATAAGAGACTATAGACCCCCTTTAGGGCTGGAAATACAACTCAGTGGTTAAGAGCACTGGCTGCTCTTCCAGGGGATCTAGGTTCAATTCCCAGCACCCATATGACAGCTCACAACTGTCTGTAACTCCGGTTTTAGGGGACCCAACAATACCCTCACACAGATATACATGCAGGCAATACAAAAAAAAAAAAAAAAGATGCAGAGATCTCTCCTCTCTAGCCTAGGGAGTACTTCTCATCGGAGCTTATGTAGAAGGTATAGTCCAAGCACTGGTTCCAGTCTTTTAGGGTAATCCTATCTAGACATCTCAGCTGTGTTATGAATCTCTTTTGTATTTCAAGCTAAGCAATGTCACCACCAAGTAGAAGTGTGGTAAGTGTCCACTGGGCGTATGAGACATTAGATCGGAACTAGCCTGTTCTGCCTATCCGACCTTTGCTGCAAACTTTAATTCCAATCACTTTTGGAGAACACAGAAAAGCATAATCCTGATGGTCTCAACCTTCTCCCCCTGTTGCTCGGTTCAATGAGCATTGCTCTAACACCCAACAAAACCCTGGCACTATACAGGTCAGCTATAAGTAAGAACAAGAGGCACAATAATACTTAAAAGTTAAGCAGGCACCAGCCATATGCACAAAACACCATTTTTTTTTTTTTTTTTTTAGTTTTTCGAGACAGGGTTTCTCTGTGGCTTTGGAGCCTGTCCTGGAACTACCTTTGTAGACCAGGCTGGTCTCGAACTCACAGAGATCCGCCTGCCTCTGCCTCCCGAGTGCTGGGATTAAAGGCCTGCACCACCATTTTCTTATCTCCTCCCCACCCCTGGACTTTCTGCTTTTATTAAAGGTCTAAGCTATAGCTTTGAAGGCTATCCCCAACCTACCTATAGACCATTCCAAAGTCATCTCTCTCAAATTTCATCTCTCCTATGAATCTATCTTCATCAATATAAATGGGGGGAGGAGGGCCTAGAAAGATCATTCAGAAGTCAAAAGCACTTGTTCTTCCAGAGGATCCAGATTTGATTCCTAGCACCAACTCAACACCTCACAACTGTCTGCAATTCCAGTTCTAGGGAATCTAACACCATCTTCTATCCTTCATGGACACAGCGCACGCGCGCGCGCGTGCACACACACACACATACCTAACAAATGGATCAAAAGGAGTTTTGGGAACAAATGTCTAGGTAAGCTATATAAAAGATGGATATATAGGTTCTTTTAACTTTCTCACATCCATAAAATATTCAATACTAAAAGTAAACTATGAGCTTTGGGGTGACAATGTCTAAATTTTGGCAATAAACATACCACTCTGGTGGGGAGGGGGGTGCCGATAATGGGAGAGCTGTAGAGGATAATTTGGAAAGTTCTGTCCCTACCTGTGAACTTTTTACTACAGTCGTCACAAAGACTATTATGTGGAATAAAAAGAATGTAGACATGGTTTAATAGTCCAAATGTTCAACATTACTGAATTACCATCACTTACTACCCTATCATTACATTTCTTGTTGAAGCCCAGATTGGCCTCAAACTCACTATGTAGTCAAGACCGGTTTTAAATTCCTCATCCTTTTTTTTTTTGTCTGTATTCTGTGTGTCATCCATGTCCCGTGTCCTGTCCCTACTCCCCAGGTGTGAAGAACTGGGATTATAGGTGTATTTATCATGCCTAAATTATTATACTTTTATTATTATTATAACTGGGAGGCTCAGGTAGAGGGACTACTTTAAATTACAGACCAGTCTTGGTGACACAAGGAGTTCATGGTCAGCCAAGACTATAAAGTCAGAGAGCATGTTTAAAAAACAAAAAACAAAAGCTGGGTGGTGATACTACACACCTTTAATACTAGCACTCAGGAGGCAGAGGCAGGAGGCTCCCTGTGAGTTCAAGATCAGCCTGGTCTACATAGCTAGTTGCAGAACAGCCAGGGCTACACAGAGAAACCCTGTCTCAAAAACCCAAAAAGCAAAAAAACAAGCAAACAAAAAAAGGTGGGTGCTAATAGTACATGCCTTTAATCCCAGCACTCAGGACTCAGAGTCAGGCGGATCAAGGCCAGCCTGGTCTGCAAAGTGAGTTCCAGGACAGCCAGGCATGTTACCCAGAGAAACCCTATTTTTTTGGGGGGGGGGGGAGATTGTTGCTATTCCAGAGAACCTGGGTTTGGTTCCCAGCACTCACACACAGCAGTTTACAAACATGGGTAATCCAGTTTCAGAGGAATCAATCCCCTCTTTTGGTCTCCAGGGGTACCAGACATGAACACATGTGCAAAGTGCACATATATGTAAGCAAAACACTGACACAGACACACACAAACAAACAAACAAATAAATAAACGTCGAGAGAGCAAGAGCAAAAGCTGAGTGCCAGGCATGGTAATGCATGCCTTTAATCCCAGCACCTGGAAAGGAGAAGCAAGAAAATCTTTAAGGATTTAAAGTTTAAGGACAGTCTGCATACCAAGTTCCAGGATAACCAAGTTCCATGTCTCAAAAATAACCAACAACCAACCTCTGCTTCTTTTTTCTTTGCACGAACTTTCTCCACTTCCATAAGGATCTTCTGAGATTCATCCACATTTCCTTCAGCTCCTAGCTGCTCTGCTTTAGCAAGGAGTTTTCCTATTTCTTCATTCAACTCATGCACTTTTTCTGCCTAAGAACAGAAAATCAGATAAAAACACCAAACATCAATACCTTGAGTTACAAAGAAAACAAGTATTTCTCTTCTTCTTGCTGTACGCCTAGCCTATTCCTCTGAAAATATCCAGACTCAGTAACACACTTAAAGATTAAAAGCTCAGTGGCAAGGTAACTGGCAGCCACTTCCAACTTTTGGATGGAAGCTTAGGAGTGTGGATGTCAGTTCAAGATCACCTATAGTGAGTCAATTCAAGGTCAGCCTAAACTACAAAAGACCACTTCAAAACAAAACTATGACAGCCTTACTATCATTACACCAGATTCTAAGCAAGCCCATTTACTCCACTGCATGGTATTTTTGTTTTGCAATGGAGCACACGCCGTTCACTTTAGAACTGACACGTTAGTTGGGTACTGGTGGAGCACACCTTTAATCACAACAATCAGAAGGCAGAGGCAGGTGGATCTCCGTGAGTTTGAGGCTAGCCTGGTCTATCTACAGAGCTAGTTCCAGGACAGGATAGGCTCCAAAGCTACACAGAGAAACACTGCCTCAAAACAAAACAAAAGGCCTCCTCCCCCAAAACATGTTGGTTATTTTCTGTGTCTCTTTATGTCCTCTGGGAAGGAGTAGTAAAATTCAAGGTTTAACATACACATTTAAAAAGTTTTATAGGAGCCGGGCGGTGGTGGCGCAAGCCTTTAATCCCAGCACTTGGGAGGCAGAGACAGGCGGATCTCGTGAGTTCGAGGCCAGCCTGGTCTATAAGAGCTAGTTCCAGGACAGGCTCCAAAGCCACAGAGAAACCCTGTCTCGATAAACAAAAAAAAAACACCAAAAACCAAAAACCAAAAAAAACCATACAAACATAGGCTGCAAGCAAAATATCTAATTACTAGAACTTGCCAGCACACATGCATCTTTTCTTTTTTTTTTTTTTTTTTAGTTTTTTTTCAAGACAGGGTTTCTCTGTGTAGCCTTGGCTGTCCTGAAACTCACTCTGTAGACCAGACTGGCTTCAAGCTCATAGAGACCTGCCTCTGCCTCCCAAGTGCTGGGATTAAAGGCATGCGCCACACCGCCACATCTTTTTTTTCTTTTTTTGATTTAATAAAGCTTTATTTTTCCAAATGTACAACTGATTGAACCTGTTTATGCATCTTTACCAGCAGCTGGGATAAGGCATCTTTTAATTAGCAGCTGTGATGCATGCCTTTAATCTCAGCATTCAAGAGGCAGGCAAATCTCTGTGAGGTCAAAGAAAAGAAAGGAAAGCAGGCTCCAAATGCCTTGGCCACATACCATCTCCACTGGGAACAATCAGTTTAGAAAGCACCATCTACACAGAATTCCCAACTAGTGTTGAGGGTGAGACAAAAAGAGAGTTATACCAGTCACTTAATATACCTTTGCAGAAACTTCTGCACTGATCTCTTCCTGAGTTTCTGCCAGCCTCTTCTTGGCAAGCTCAGTTCTCCGATCACACTCTGCAATGAAGGACTCTAAGTGATCCATTGCCTAGTTCGGAGAAAGCAAACAGCTATGATCAACACCGCATAGTTTTTTTGTCATTGTTATGTCTTTTATTTGCGAAGAGGAGTGTTTAAGATTAAACCCAAAACTACAAGTATGCTAGAAAGGAACTCTTCTGAATTACATCTGCAGACCAGTTTCTCCATATAAAGTCCCACAGACCAGGCTGGCCCAAAACTTGCCATGTACTCTGGGCTGGCTTTGAACTCACTATCTTCTTCCCTTAGCCTCCAAAGTGCTAGATGAGAGGTGTGCACACCACACTTTGCACGCTGCATAGTCTTGGCACCTATATATGTAATAGGAACACAACCTTGTGGACTTAAAATACTCCCTATGTATATCAGGCAGACACATGCCCTTAATCCCATCACTCAGGAGGAAGAGATAGGCACATCTCTGGGAGTTCCAGGGTTACATATGAAACCTGGCCTCATAAAAAATAAATAAAAAGAAAGAAATTAAATTGCAATTCCTATCTCTGCTATGGCATCTATAGGGACAGCAAGAGCTGATACTCTGCTTAAAAATTTATCATCATAATTAACATAATTAGAGTCATCTTAAACCAAATTGCTATCTCTTTAACTTATTTCCAAAATTTGTAGAAAGATTTCCAACTCTGTTAAAATTACCAAGAAAATGGACTGAGGGAATTGCTTAGTAAGGTGTTAGTCATGCAAACATAAGGACCTGAGTTCAATCCCTCCAAAATCTACATGTGGCTATGAGCCTTTATAATTCCAGCATTGGGGAGGTGGGGATAGGTAGCTCTCTTGGGCTTCTCCATCAGCCAGTCTCATCTACTTGGCACATCCTAGGCCACTGACGGAGAAACACTGTCTCAAATAACAGGTGAGGGGCTAGCAAGATAGTTCAGTGGGTAAACATACTAGAGGCCAAACCTGATTAATCTGAATTTACTCTTTTGGAACCTGCATGATGGAAAGAGAGAACCCATTCCCATAATTGTGTGTATATATACATACAAGCAAATAAATTTAAAAAAAAAGTTAAAATAAAAACAAAAAAAAATTGACAAGTGGGCAGCACCTACAAAAAAACAACCAAGGCTGTCCTCTGGCCTTCACGGGCACACAGCAGGAGGCTGAGGCAGGAAGATTATTATGAGTTGGAGGCCAGTTTGGGACTATAGTGTAGAATAAAGAGAGGCAACCCACATGTAGAGGAGAAATTCAGTGTGAAGGTGGTTCAGTGAATAAAGACTTTGTTGAGTGAGAAAGCAAGTTAGTATTAAGACTGAATCTGGGGCTGGAGAGATGGCTCAGAGATTAAGAGCACTGGCTACTCTTCCAGAGGTCCTGAATTTAATTCCCAGCAACCAAATGGTGGCTCACAACCATCTATAATGATATGGAATATGGTGCTCTCTTCTGGTGTGTAGTCATACATGCAGACAGAACACTCTATACATAATAAATAAATCTTTAAAAAAAAAGACTGAATCTGAGTCCTAGAACTCACATAAAAATGGTAAGAGGCCTCACCCTCACTGAGAAACAGATGGGGAAGGGGGGAGGGGAGGGAGGAACTGGGATTAGTATGTAAAAGAAAAAGTAGTAAGAGACAGCCAGGCAGTGTAGCCAACACCTTTAATCCCAGCACTCAGGAGGCAGGCTAGCCAGGTCTACAAAGCAAGTTCCACGGCAGTCAAAGATACATACACTGTGAAGCTCTATCCCAAAAGAGGAAGGAGGAAGGGAGGGGAGAAAGAAAAGGAAAAAGGGTGTGACCTATGTTTGCTACCACAGTTGCAAACTGTACTTCTGGAAAAATGAAGAGCTGGTCACCTGTCCTTACCCAGAATAACAGCCCCCAATACAGGATCCTGAGGTATCCCTAAGCCCACTCAAGTAGTGCTCCCCTACTGTATACTCAGCATTATATATATAGGGAAGATCAATGACTCACTCAAAGCAGTCATGCAGAGCCACACCTTTATCAACTAAAATGCCTCTATATTAAGCAGATTCTTAGTTCAATGGTAATGTGATGGAGGAAGGTCATTGGTTTATAAAGAAACTGCTTGGCCTGATAGGTTAGAACATAGGTAGGCAGAGTAAACAGAACAGAATGCTGGAAGAGGAAGTGAGCTCAGACGCCATTGCTCTGCTCTCTGAGGCAGACAAGGTGAAGCTCCGACCCAGGATGGACATAGGCTAGAATCTTCCTGGTAAGCGCACCTCGTGGTGCTACACACATTAATAGAAATGGGTCAAGCAGTGTTTATATGAATACAGTTTGTGTGTCGTTATTTTGGGGCATAAGCTAGTCAGGCAGCCAGGAGCCAGGCGGCAGGTACGCAGCCCGCAACTCCTTCTACAGAAGTAATGGACTCAAATGTCTAAAAATCTAAAAACGAAACGGTTACACAACAAAACAAGCAACCCAGATCATGGAGTGTCTTCAAACAGGCATGTTCTTTAAAAACTAAGTCTGTTTTGCTGTCCCTTTCTCTCCTTTCAAAGTGTTTCAAGTGTAGATTAGTTACAAAAGGACAAATTTACATAACAGAAAAAGAGTCTAAAACTCAAATTCTTTTTTTTTTTTTTTTTTTTGTTTTGGAGGGTAGTTTTCAAGAAAAAGTTTCTCTATGCAGCCCTGGCTGTCTTGGAACTCACTATGTAAACCAGACTGGCCTCAAACACGAAGATCTATCTGCCTCTCTGTCTCCCAAGTGTTGGGATTAAAGGTATGTGCCACCACCACAGGCAAAAACTCAGATTCTAATCACAATCTACCCCTTACGAGAATGTGTACAGTGGTCCCACAGAATGGTACAATGAAACCAACTTCTAAGAGCACCCAGGCATATTCAACCCTGCATGATACCCAAATAACTATGCTCTCTTCCTTCCATGCTCAGAGCCTAGAAACAAGGCCACAGGACAGAGTAAAAACACTTCACCAATGAAGTGTTGCCCAGTATGTGTTAAGCCCAAGTTCAATTCCCAGCACTGTCTTTCTAAAAAAGAGAGAGCAAGAGAGAGCAAAGTAGAGCAGGCATAGTACAACACATTTTTAATTCCAGCATCAGAGAGAGTAATGAAGATAAGTAGGCTTCTAAAAGAAAAAAGGGGGGTAGGGTGGTTGAAGAGATGGCTCAAGCAGTGAAGGGCACCAGCTGCTCTTCCAGGGAACTCAGGTTCTGTTTCCAGTAGCCACATGGCAGTTCTTAACTATCTAACGCTAGTTTTAGGAGGTCCAATGCCCTGTCTGGCTTTCGTGGTCACCAGGTATGTATGTGGTCCACAGACATAAATGCAACTGAAATATTTCTACACATTAAAATAAACATTAAAAAAAATTAAAGAATAAACAAAGTACCAGTAAATTCAAGTAACTTGCTTTACATTTTAGGTTGCTTTGTTTTGGGGTAGAACAGAAAATAGGGTCACACTATGTATCCTGGCTAGCTCTCAACTTTGCTATGCCTGCCTATAACCACAAACCTCTTGCTTTAAACTCTTGAGTGCTGGGAGTATAGATAAAGTCTCATCTTTACTATTCTTATAGAAAAGTATCTATTTAACTTTAGGTAAATGTCTATAATATAACACTTCGGAGAGAGAATCAATCCATAACTACAAAGAAAGTTTGAAATTAGCCTTGGCTACATGAACCCCTCAACCCCCCCAACCCCCCCAAAAATAGCTTTAAACCTTTTGAAGGCAAGTTGGGCATGCATCCCCTGCCATACCAGTGCTCAGGGGATACTCACATAGTGAGTTCAAGGCCAGCCTGGTCTACCTAGTGAGATCTAGGACAGCCATGGCTACATTGCAAGACCTTGTATCAAATAACAACAATCCAATATATGTAAGTTCTTACTATATATAGTAAGAACTTACATGCAATGTTTGAATAAACCTGTGACATCATTCTAGCAATTTTCTATTAATACAACATCCATACACTCCCCAACCCCCCCCCCACCCCCGCTCTTGCTCTTTTGCTAGAATTTCTCAAGGACATGCCCCTTTTGGGAACTGCTCTGAAATATGACTAAAAGGAGATCACCCAGGCAAGTCTGCAGCAGTAATATTAACCTGATTCTTTGGCTGTCTCCAGAGGACAAGGAAGGTATGTATACTTATAGACAAGCTATGCATTCCTGAATTTACAAATACATGACCACGAAAGAGAACCAAAAGTGCTTTGTGGCACTGGAGAGATGACTCAGTGGTTAAAACCAAAGCTGCTCTTGAATAAGATCCAAGTTTGGGGAACTGTAGAGGTGGCTCAGTGGTTAAGAGCACTGGCTGTTCTTCCAGAAGTCCTGAGCTCAATTCCCAGCACCCACGTGGTGGCTCACAACAATTTATAGTGGGATCTAATGCCCTCTTCTGAAGACATAATGGTGTAGAGCACTCACACACATAAAATAAATCTTAAAAAAAAAGATCCAAGTTTGTCAGGTGACTCACAACTGCAGATAATTTCAACTTAAAAGGGATCTGATGTCTCTGGACTCCACAGGTACCCGAACTCATATACACATACCCACATACATACACATACACAATTTAAAAAAAAAAAATGCTTTGTGCCTGTATTGCTCATGTTACTGTAACCAATTTAGGGGAGGGGACGGTGGAGCTGGAGGCCCCACATGTGAGAACAGGATTTCTCAGAAAATTAGGAAACAACCTTCCTCAAGACCCATTAATACCACTTTTGGGTATATATCCAAAGGATGCTCAATCGTGCCACAAGGCATGTGCTCAACTATGTTCATAGCAGCATTGTTTGTCATAGCCAGAACCTGAAAACAACCTAAATGCCCCTCAACCGAGGAATGGATAAGGAAAATGTGGTACAATTACACAATGGAGTACTACACAATAGAAAAAATAACGGTATCTTGAGTTCAACTGCCAACACTATACAAATCTATCGTGATGGCATATGGCCCTGTAATATCAGCTCTCAGAAAGAGGCTCAGGAGTTCAAGATCTTCCTTGGCTACATAGCACGTGCTATCAGTATGTATTATAATAGACACATAAAAAAAGCAAACAATGAAATGAAATTCAATACAATAAGTTGGGAGTCACACACATATAAGATGGCATCTGCTGTGTTCTAGAACTTAAGATTCTTAACAAGTGCTTATTTAATTATTTTGCTTTATAACTTACAGACATTACACTACTTTCAATAGTAATTGATACTTTGCAGCAAGGATAAATAAACATCCAAAGAAATCTTACATCTAATTCAAAAAACAGGTCTCTTTCTTTACTTGCAATTTCATAATCTGCTCGGAGGGCCAAGTCGTGGATTTTGGTACATTCTCCTAAATCCATGCGCTGTGGGAAATCAAAAAAAAAAATTAAAACATTAACACCTATTCATTATAGAAAGCATGAAGTTCATATGATTTAGCATTTCAACTTTCACTGAAATAAACAATATAGGCTTACAGATAATAAATAAGAAATGGATCAAGTGTAATGGCATATGATAATCTCAACAGTTAAGAGTTTGAGGGGCAACAGGGTAGTAAGTTAAAGACCAACTTGGACTTATGTAGCCTCGTCTCCAACAAAAGAAATAAAGCCAGGCACACTGACAGACACATTTCTGTAATTGGTGCCCTTGGCAAGGAAAGGCAGGAGGGTCAGGAATGTAAGGTTAACTTCACCTTCAGCTACAAGTCCAAGGTCAGCATGGGCAACATGAGATCATATCACATAAACAAAAAAGAAACAAGATATATCCTAAAAATGCATTCTTTAAATTTATTTTTTAGATTTATTTAGCTGGGCAGTGGTGACTCATGCCTTTAATCCCAACACTCAGGTGGCAGAGGCAGGAGAATCTCTGAGTTTAAGGCCAGCCTGGTCTATAGAGCGAATTCCAGGACAGCCAAAGCCACACATAGAAAAACCCATTTCGGAAAAAAAAAAAAATTTTATTTGTGAGTGTTTTGCCTGGTACCTTCAGAGATCAGAAGGTAAATCAGATCTCCTGGAACTGAAATTACACAGTTATAAACCATCAAGTGGGTGCTAGAAACAGAACTGGAATCCTCTATAAAAGCAGCAAATGTTCTTAACCACTGAGCCACCTCTCCAGTCCCTGTATTTTTCTTTCCTTCTTTGTTCTTGCTGTGGCAACACCAGACACTCCACTTGGAGCTTGTTTTCTTCTTGGCACAACTGGTCTTTGGGCAAAAAACTGCCCCTGCTTCGACCACTGACAAAATGCACGATGTCCAGACTAGACAAGCGGGATACAGGCAAAAAGATTGCCAGACCTTGCCAAGAAAGGGTAAGATAGTTTTTCAAATTTTCCTGGCTCTGCAAAAAGTCTGTCAGATACTCAAGGTCTCAGTCAAAGTTGGATGCCCCACGGTACAAATGAGACTTTGGGTGATTGCCTAGGTAGCTGGTTGTCTCTGTCATTTCCTGCACCTTTTGCGAGTTGCTTGATTGTACTTCCTGCTCACTCAAGTAATATTAGTTCCCTTCTCAGGTCTTCGATGAGATTGAAGGCTAGATAGCCATAGTTACTTTCCTCTCATGACTTAGCCATTTTTAATATAAGACTCAGACTCTTTTAAGATAGGATAACTATTGAAACATTTAACATGTGTTTCCCTGTTTGATGTTGCGCGTGCTGATTGTAATTCTAATTTTTATGTATACTTTTGCCTCATCTTTTCCCTGGACGATACCTGATATTTGTTCCTATTATATATAGTTTTTTTGTATTAGGCTTAGAACTCTTATTTAGACAAAAGTGGGCAGTGCTGTGGGAACTCCTTCAGCCAATAGCCTTTAAGATAATGACCCACGGGGGGGGGGGGGGGGGGGGGGGGGGGGGGGGGGGGGGGGGGGGGGGGGGGGTGATATATTAGGGCTGGAGAGATGGCTCAGAGGTTAAGAGCACTGCCTGCTCTTCCAAAGGTCCTGAGTTCAATTCCCAGCAACCACATGGTGGCTCACAACCATCTGTAATGAGGTCTGGTGCCCTCTTCTGGCCTGCAGGTATACATACAGACAGAATATTGTATACATACATACAGAATATAATAAATAAATATTTAAAGAAAAAAGAAAAAGATACTGACCCACTTTGGACATGGTCTCATAAATGCAGACAAAAAAGCATGTGCAGGACTCTGTTAGCTGGGGGATTTGGCTCCAGTTCCCAGTGCAGGCAGAGGACTGCAGATCGGTACCCTTACTTTGAGTTTATCCCCAAATAAATAAACCTTTGTTATATCCCATTCCGGGCTATTGTGTAACTGTTTTGTAAGCCAACATTTTCTTTTTGTTTGTTTTTTTTCTTTTTTTGGTTTTTGAGGCTTTATCACTATAAGCAGTGTGCTGTCAATAAGACTAGTCACAATGTATTATTATGTATTCTAATCACATGTAAAACAATCATACTGCAGTTTGTAATGTTTATGTTAATCCTGAGTACAGGACTATGCAGATATCTCCTGCTCTGGCTGTCTAAACAGCAACAGAAAATTTTTGTCCTAAAACTTATGGCATTAAATCAAAGTGCAAGCTAACAAAATCACAAGGAGAGGTAGGAAGATCAGGAGTTCAGGCCCAGATTCTACTGCATTGTGATTCTAAGGTGAACATATGACCCTGACTCACACAAAAAGTGGGTAGGGTTGGCAGGAGAGATGGCTCCACTGGTAAGAATGCTTGCTGCTCAAACATAAATGTTCAGAACCCAGCACCCATTTAATTACCCAGGCATGATTACACATATCTGTAACCACAGCACTGTTTTATTGATTGCTAACCCAGTCAAAACTCCATAAACTCTGGGTACAATGAGCTTTAGACTAAGTAAAACTCTGTGCCAGGTGGTGGTGAGGCACACTATAATCCCAGAACACAGGAGCACAGGAGGCAGCAGAAGCAGGCAGATCTGTGAGTTGGAGGATAGCCTGTCTACAGAACAAGTCCCAGGACAGCCAGGGCTACACAGAGAAACCTTGTTTCAAAAAAAAAAAACAAAACAAGCCTGGCGGTGGTGGCGCATGCCTTTAATCCCAGCACTCGGGAGGCAGAGGCAGGCGGATCTCTGTGAGTTCCAGGCCAGCCTGGTCTACAAGAGCTTGTTCCAGGACAGGAACCAAAAGCTACGGAGAAACCTTGTCTCGAAAATTTAAAAAATAAATAAATAAATGAATGAATGAATGAATGAATGAATGAATGAATAAATAAATAAATAAATAAAGACCCTGGGACTGAAGTTAAGACAGCTGTGAGCTACTGTATGGGTCCTAGAAATTGAGCCTGGGTCCTCTAGAAAGACAATCTGTGAGTGCTCTTAACCAGTGAGCCATCTCTCCAGCCCTGTAACTCATTAAAAAAAAAAAAAGATTTATTTATTTATTTATTATGTATACAACATTCCTTCCATGTATACTTCCATGCCAGAAGAGGGCACCAGATCTCATTATATATGGCTGTGAGCCACCATGTGGTTGCTGGGAATTGAACTCAGGACTTCTGGAAGAGCAGTCAATGCTCTTAGTCTCTGAGCCATCTCTCCAGCCCCCTGTAACTCTTTATACACAGAATAAAGTGGGGTTTCAGCAATTCTAATCCTAAAAGTTGTTTTTTTTAAACATTAATTTTTAAGGTTTATTTTGATTATTTTAAAATTATGTATGTGCCTGTGTAGGAGTTATATGCACATGAATGTAGTTGCCCCACATTTAGAAGTGGCTGTCAGTCAGATCCTCTGGAAATGGAGTTACAGATGCTGGTAAGCCACCATGTGAGTACTGGGAATCAAACACTGGTCGTCCGCAAGAGCAACAAATGCTCTTAACTACTGAGCTACCTCGCTAGCTCCTATTATGTAATTTAAAAAAAAACATTACTCTTGGGTGAAAGAAAAATATCACATCTATTGTCCCACCCCACCCTGAGTAATCCATAAGGTTCTGGAATGCACCTACCGTCCCAGCAAGGATGTCATGGGGGCAGCAATCCAAAAGGTGACTCTTGCAGACACGGTCATCTGTAAACTTGACCCTCTGTCTGGTTTCATCTCCTGAAATTCATTTGTGGTTTTAAATAAAGTAGTATCTCACTAACTACACAAGGCTATCTGGCAAAACAATACACTCGGATGATTTGCAGACTAGTATTTCTGTATTCTCCCCATCACACACACTAAGAAACTGATCTAAAGATATTGACAATTGGAATGGAATGCCGATTTTTTTCAAGCTAAGTATTTTATGAAGACGCACACTTAATCACATCTAACTCCATCATTAAGTCAAGGAGTCAGAAATAAGAGTACCAAAAGGAATCAGCCCAAATCAGTGTGGGCATGAGAACTAAGAAGCAGGTAATCTACCACATATGACTTAGAGCTGGCAATTCCCACCAACCAAAGCTATTTATTAATCTTTTTGTTGCAGTCAAACAGGCAGTGTTTTATTATAGAAAACTGCCAAGAGGAAGGAGGAAGTTTTCAAGCTCTATCACTGACTCTTAAATATCTCTAGACCTTTTCTTGTTATGCCCCTTTCATCCCCACCCTTACAAAGGGAAGTTGGCACCTGGGAGTCACTTTTAACAAGACAATACCAAAGAAAGCAAAAAGAAATCAGGTTAGTCAATACACACTGTGAACTCCAACACATACTGTACCCATCTGCATTCTTCAAGAACTCAGCTGCAGAATTTTATGCCCGCTGTTGAAAAGTTTTAAAGGAAAAGTTTTCTTGCCCACACCTGCAGTAAGGAAGTCAGGGGGAATGATACATAAAAGTAAAGGCAAAGTGGTATGTGACAAATTTTAAGGCTAATCTGTGTAGAGGACACAGTGCTGTGTAATAGTCAAGGAGGAATATATTTCAGGATTTGCAAGCATCCAGGATTAATGTAGTGTCTTTTTACTGAAAATGTTTTCTTTCTAAACTACACTTTTAAAGTTACTTGTGGAAAAAAGGCAAACACTTTTTTGTTATAACAGCTTAGAAATTGGTTGTGACTCACGGCTCGATGAACATGAGGCTTTTCTGCAACTCCCTTGCAGATTGATGTAGGCAGGCAAAGATACACTGAACCTTTATAAATAAAATAGAGGGGCCACAATTGTTCAGTTTGTATGAAATAAAAATATGGGAAGCAATTCAAAAGCAACTCAACATACAAAGAAAGCTAAAAGCACTTATTGACCTATGAAATAAGGTGCAAAGAATCTGCACAGCCCTGCGAAATGTGCCAGTGTGAAATTACAACTTCATTACTTTAGTAAAAATGAAAACACCAACCACAGCAGGGATCTAGCTTTGCTGGGATGCAACTGCTTTCTTCTGAGACACCACCATGATCTTGCACGCCTCCCTACACACCTACCTAAAGAATGCCAAGAGCTGACTAAACCAGGGCTAGTCTGGAAGGCTGCGGAGTGAGGGGTGGGAAGACTAGGAAAGTGCACGGAGGAACCCACGTTAGAAATGCTCATTTACGGCTCCCCTTGTGACCGTACGGGGCAGGAACGCCCGGGGTTTTCGAAACCCGTCCAGCTCCTCGGGGGTCGCCTCTCCTCCGAGGAGTATCAGAGGAATTCTGCCACACGGCAGCCAGCGCCCGGGAGCCGCGCTGGTTCCAGCCCTCCGCCGACGCTCCAGTACGCCGGGCGGCGCCGAACCGCAGTGCCGACCAAGAGGAATTCGCATGACGGAAAATGGGAGGGGGACAGAGCCCCACCGTCGGATCGGACTCTCAGAAAGGAGGCCGCCCGGACGAGAAGGACACGGCGGCCGAAGCAGCCTCGCAAGCCAAGCAGATCAGACAAAGGCCCAGCGCCTGGGGTCGGCGAGCGGGGGGGGGGGGGGGGGGGGGGGGGGGGGGGGGGGGGGGGGGGGGGGGAAAATGGCGCCCCGCGCAGGCGCACACTGTCACGGCCCTTGCCTCTGGATGCCAGGCGGCCTCGCCTTACTCCCGCCCCCGCCCAGCGCCTGGACGGCCGCTCAGACTCACCGTCCCGAGCCGTGCCCATGAGCTGGTCCAGCAGGGCCCGCATCTGCGCTTGGGCGGACATGGTGGCCAGTGGGGACGGCCGCGAAGATCCTCACAACTCAACGGCAGCAGCAGAAACAGCGGCAGCGAAAGATGGTCCAGTCGGCCTGAAGCCCGCTCGGCGCTTTCCCGCCGCGGGGAATGCTGGGAGGAAGTTCGTCAACGTTGTTGGAGGGCCTGCCGGGAAATGTAGTTTGGAAAAACCAGAGTCGCTAGGTGGGGCTGTCACAAATTGTCCTAGAGGCTAAATTAAAACTCCAACCCTGATCCCTAAAACATCAAATTCTATTGTCTGTCTATCTTCCTTCCTTCCTTCCTTCCTTCCTTCCTTCCTTCCTTCCTTCCTTCCTTCCTTCCTTCCTTCCTTCCTTCCTTTCCTTTTTGGTTTTTAGACACAGGGTTTCTCTTTGGATCCATAAAGTTTAAACTAAGGATTTCTTTTGAGACAAGAATGAAAAGACCACCCACCCTAGGATGGTAGACAAATTTGTGACAATGCTGTCACAAATATAAACTGTAACATTTTCCAGCATGAGACTAGACTTTTTTTTTTTTTTGGTTTTTGGAGACAGGGTTTCTCTGTGGCTTTGGAGCCTGTCCTGGAACTAGCTCTTGTAGACCAGGCTCGAACTCACAGAGATCTGCCTGCCTCTGCCTCCCAAGTGCTGGGATTAAAGGCGTGCGCCACCACCGCCCGGCTGAGACTAGACCTTTTTCAGTTCATATTTTTTTATATTTATTTATTTATTATGTATACAGCATTCCTTCCATGTATGCCTGCAGGCCAGAAGAGGGCACCAGACCCCATTACAGATGGTTGTGAGCCACCATATGGTTGCTGGGAATTGAACTCAGGACCTTTGGAAGAGCAGGCAATGCTCTTAACCTCTGAGCCATCTCTCCAGCCCCTGAGACTAGACCTTTTTGAGGAACTAGCCCATATATGTATTAAAGAGTTCTCCCTTTCTCTGAATGCTTATGTGGTTGGAGTTTCCACTTCACAAAGACTCGCAATAGTACAATATTTGTATCATTATATATTCCAATTCCCATGGAACTGGAGTTTAAGTGTTTGTGAGCTTCCATGTGGGTACTGGAGACTAAATCTGAATCCTGTGCAGGAACAGCAGGTGCTCTTAACCCCTGAGCCATTTCTCCAGTCTACCTCCCCCTTGTTAATGATTTCCCCTGGCTCTGCTCCCTTGCTTTTGAGAGGGATGACACAAATGGCTCTATTCTGATACTGTTGTTTCCTCTCTCATCTCTCAATGAACTTTTCTTTTCTCCAAAGGCGTGGTTGATTAACCAGTCTTTGCTCTGGTCCATCCATCATAATGTCCCAGTCTGATCTTACACTAGGTGATAGATGATGTGAATTCAAGCTTCCAGAAAAGCCCACACCTATGCTAAAGATTCTACAAGGCCAATTTACTGGTTATGACTGTATGAAAGGAAAAAGGGGAGGGACTGAGGATGTGGCTTGGCTGATAGCGTGCTTGCCTCCTGTGCCCTGGGTTCTACCCCCTGCACAGCATAAAACCAGACATAGTGGTGTTCACATGTTATTACAGCAATTGGGAGGTAGGGGCAGGAGGATCGAAAGTTCAAGTTCATCTTCAACTACATAGTTCAAGCCCAGCCTGGACTATATGAACCCTTGTCTAGAAAGAAAGAGAAGGAAGGAAGGAAGGAAGGAAGGAAGGAAGGAAGGAAGGAAGGAAGGAAGGAAGGAAGGAAGGAAAATGGAGTGTTAGAATGTTGCTGATCTGGAGCCAAATTATCATGAGCTATAAAGGACACAGAGAATGAAAGATTTAAAAAAAAAAAAAAAGCTCTGAGACAAAATGTAGATGAATAGAAACAGGTAAAATTAGTTAAAAGAGCTAGTGGGACAAGTCTAAGCTAAGTCCAAGCATTCATAATTAATAATAAGTCTCCAAGCCGGGCGGTGGTGGCGCATGCCTTTAATCCCAGCACTCAGGAGACAGAGGCAGGCCTCTGTGAGTTCGAGGCCAGCCTGGTCTAGAAGAGCTAGTTCCAGGACAGGAACCAAAAAGCTACGGAGAAACCCTGTCTCGAAAATCAAAAAAAAAAATAATAATAATAGTAAGTCTCCATGTCTTTATTTGGGAGCTGGTTGGCAGCCCAAAGACAATTCCAACTACATCTGTGTACTCAAGGCCAGCCTGGTCTACAGAGTGACTTCCAGTACAGCTGTAGTTATGTAGAGAAACCCTGTCCGAAAAGAAAAAGAATACAAATTAAAACTCCATAAAATCTTTCCAGATTGGGGCACGGTATTCAGCAGGAATGTTGAGATATGATGATTTGAAAGAAAATGGCGCCCCACAGGCTCATGGGAAGCGGTACCATTAGGAGATGTGACCTTGTTGGTGTAGGTGAGGGGTTGGAGAAAGTCTGTCACTGGGTCAGGCTTTGAGGTCTCAGATGCTTAAGCCAGGACAGTGTCTTACTTGCTCTTCCTGTTGCCTGCCAATTCAGATGTAGAAGTCTCAGCTACCTTTGGCATAATGTCAGCCTGCATGCCACCCTGCACGCTGCCATACTCCCCACCGTGATGATAACGGACTAAACCTCTGAACTGTGAGCCAGGTGTTAATCCCACTGGTTGAGAATAAGACCACTACCACAATTTAGAGCCAAACTTGTGCCAGGCCTCCTTAGCCTCCTCATTCCCCAGGGAAGGGTGAGTACCATTCCACGCCCCACGGCACAGGACAACCAGACATGATAGGGAGTCAAGTCAAAGCAGAAACTAAGTTTATTACTGTGAGCGTTAGTTTATATAGCTTAAGTGACATCGTGTGATGTGGGTGTACCTCCAGCCAATGAGAGACAGTCAAGCCCTCCCTCTAGGTGAGGGGCATCTACCTAGATTTTGCTGTCTCATCCTCAGTTCCCTCAAACTCGAGCCAGGCTTTTCTCTGTCCTATAGGCCTTGAGGTACAGGCCCTGAGATACTTTTGGCCCAACAAGTTTTAATGAAATACTGGCCAGATGTATGGATTCTGGCCAGGTCCATCTTTGGGTGTCCAGCAGATGGCCCCAATCAGATTTGCAGCAGCTTAAGTATTTCCCATCAGGTCCAATCAGAAACAAGCATACATCCTGACTTATCTCCTCCAGCCTACATGCAACCAGGGGCAAGCATACATCTTGGCATATTTCTGCCTCTGAACCTCCTGCCCACCTGTGATCCAGCACATTTGGTGCAGAATGGTCAAACCAAGGGAGTGAAAACAGGTGGCTCATTATCTCCCAGAAACAATAGCTTCCAGCATTTCAGGGACTGTCTGTCCTGGGGCAAGGGCCTTGCAGGTCAGAGGCAATTTTTTGTTGTTGTTTCATGGATCTCCAAGGCATACTAATTAAAACTTAAAATGTAATTTAGACTCTCACACAGCCCCAATAAAATGTTTTCCTTTATAAAAAGTTGCTGTGTTCATGGATCTCTTCACAGCAACAAAACCCTAACTAAGACAAGGGGCGACCTGATTCTATATTCCTGTGCCATGGGCACTTGCATATTTGACTCGAGAACAAAAAATCTCTTATCCCTTTCTAGGCAAGAGCTATGTCTTTGTTTTGGCAAATTACTGGTAAGTGTCAAAGCCAAACAAGAGGCTGAAGATGTGGTTCTGTAGTAAGGAGAGCACACTGTTCCTGCAGAGGGCCAGAGTCTGGTTCCTAGCACCCAAGTCCAGCAGTCCACAACTTCCTGAAACCCTAGCTCCAAGAAATTTGACACCCTCATCTGGCCTTGGAAGCACATGCAGTGACACACATATTCTCTCCCCTGACATACACATAACTAAAAATAAAATATTTTAAAAATAAAAATAAAGGGACTGGAGAGATAGCTCAGTGTTAAGAGCACTGACTGCTCTTCCACAGGACCCGGGTTCAATCCCAGCATCCACAGGGCAGCTCACAACTGTCTGAAGATTCAGTTGTAGGGGATCTGACATCTTCACACCAATGCACATAAAATAAAGTTAAAATAAAGCCGGGCGGTGGTGGTGCACGCCTTTAATCCCAGCACTTAAAGGCAGGCGGATCTCTGTGAGTTCAAGACCAGCCTGGTCTACAGAGCTAGTTCCAGGACAGGCTCCAAAGCCACAGAGAAACCCTGTCTCGAAAAAACAAAAAAACAAAAATAAATAAATAAATAAATAAAAATAAAAATAAAATCAAACAACAAATTTTTTTGACAAATTTGAGCAACAAGATATTTAGGGGCAGTGGCACTTAGAGACATACTACAACAAGCCCATATCAGCAGTTTTTGTTAAAATGTTTTGACTCGGGGGCTGGAGAGATGGCTCAGAGACTAAGAGCATTGACTGCTCTTCCAGAGGTCCTGAGTTCAATTCCCAGCAACCACATGGTGGCTCACAGCCACCTATAATGAGATCTGGTGCCCTCTTCTGGCATGCAAGCATACATAGAAGGAATGTTGTATACATAATAAATAAATAAATCTTTAAAAAAAATAAAATAAATAAAATGTTTTGACTCTTCACTTGGGCCCACAAGGTAAATGAAAATAGGCTAAGAGTAGTATTTCTGCCTTCATTTTGTGTCTGTCTGTCTCCTTTACTTTAACTGAAGGCACATATTGATCATTATCCTAACCCTTTCTTAGACGAGACCCCAGGAGGAACAAAATCTGGCAGGACAGCTCTCCCCCATCCAAACAACTACCATAGGAGTGAGGCTGCACCATCAGCAATGAGTAGATTAACAACTTTAAATGCATTGGGGGCTGGGGATATAGCTCAGTGATAGAATGTTTACCCAACATGCGCTAGGACAAGGCAGCTGGGCAGTGGTGGTGCACACCTTTAATCCCAGCACTCCAGAAGCACAGGCAGGTGGATCTCTGAGTTTGAGGTCAGCCTGGTCTATAAAGGGAGTTCCAGGAAAACCAGGGCTGTTACACAGAGAAACCCTGTCTCGGAAAAAAAAAAAAAAAAAAAAAAAGAGGAAAAAAAAAAAAGCTAGTCAGGTAGGGGTGACACACACCTTTAATTCCAGCATTCAGGAGGCAGAGGTAGGCAGATCTCTAAGTTTGAGGCCAGCCTAGTCTACAAAGCAAGTTCCAGGGCAGCCAGGGCTACACAGAGAAACTTGCCTTGAAAAACACAACCAAAATAAATAAATAAGCAAAAATGCAAGGCCACCCGGGGTAAATGACAACTCCACCTTCAGAAAGAAAAAAGAAAGAAAAAGAAAAAAAGAAACAAACAAAAAGGAAGTTAGAGATGTACCTGAATTGCATTACCTACCAAGAACAAAGCCCTGAGTTAGATTAACAATAGCATTGCATAAAACCAGTGTAATAGTGTAATGTCACATGCCTGTGATGGCAGGAGGTATTTCAGAATAAGGATTTTAAGTTCAAGGCCAGTCTGAGCTATATTAGACCCTATCGCAAAAACAATAGAGATAAGAAGACTCAGTAGGTAAAGGTCCTTGCTAAGCAATTGTGTAAGCCTTGTAACCTTCGTTTGATCCCAGGAACCCACATAAAGGTGGAAGAAGAGAACCAACTGCAGAGTTGTTCTTTGACCTCTCCGTGTCTGGGTGTGCGTGCCTGTGCGTAGAGGGAAAAAAATGCCGCGGACAGTAGGAGCACGGAATGATATGCAGTCTAGAAAAAAGAACCCTTAGAGAGGGTCTCCAGCTGGTCAGGTGACCAATGTCTCCCTTCACAGCTTTCTGGGGTCAGTACTGCAACATGAGACCCAAGCTATCATAGCAGTAGTACCATGTCAAAATGCTCGGCTCCAGCCCTAGTCGGCTCTTTGCTGGAAGGGAGCAACACCGGACGCCACATTCACGTTGCTAAGCAATTAATGCAGGTAGCTTGACAAGGTCACGCTGGTACGCCCCTTCCGCCGACAGGAAGTGACGCACAGCGCTGGTGGGGCGGAACTAAGGAGGAAATCATAGCCTGTTTGGGGCGGGGCTTGCTGCAGGGCAGGTCTGGGGCGGGCCCTGTGGGGGCGTGGCACGCTGCCCTCCAGGCCGGGGCGGGCCCGGGCTGGCAGTGGGAGGGCGCCGCTGTCCGACGCAGTCGGTCCTTCTGCTCCTGTGCTCTCCACCCCGGCTGCTTGGAATGTGGATCCCGGACTCCAGGGACCGCAGTTGAGCCAGCTTTGGCAGTCCAGGACCACTTGCTGAGGAGCAGAATCTCCCTGACGCGTCCGAGAGCGGGTCGAGAGCCAACTAGGTAACTCTCACGCGCGACCTCTTTCGGGCCGAAGCCGGCTGCGTTCGATCGCCTGGAGCTAGTGGGGGCCTGGAGCCGGTCCGGCCACCTGGAGAGTGGCGCACAGCTCGGGTCGGCCCCGCCTGAGCTCCCAGAGTAGCAGGATCATACAAGGGGCCTAGCACCTCCGGGCGCGCCGAACTCACCGAAACAAATCTGTATTCACCCGTGTGTGTTCCCTGGAGGGCGCAGTGCTGACCCAGAGCGACAGGGAGTGACCTACCTGAGAGACCCTGGGCTCAGGAGGACATCTGCTAGTCTTGTGCCGTTCCTTAAATTCTGTCGCTCTCACCAGGGCATTAGTGAGAATCAGTTTATGTTCTTCAAGTTCAGGACCAAGGCAGTGTGGTGGGTAACGTCATGGATGGTGATGGGGATGTCTTCATTCTTCACCCTCACAGTTCTCCCTGCTGCTTGTTTCTTTAATCTGATCACCACCTCCTCCTGCTGCCTTGAACTGGAAGCAATGTTCCTGCTTGAGCCTTTCGGGTGCTGGGCTGTTCTTTCTTCCATACTGACATTTTTCTCACTCCCCCTTCCAATTGCCTCCTTGTGCTGCTTATCAGTTGCTTTGTAACAAAGAAACACAAAATTTAATGGATTAAAACAATCTTTATGCTAGGTGTGGTGGTGCATACCTCGAATCCGGAAGTTGAGGATGAGACCTAAGAATTCTGAGTTTGAGGTCAGCCTAGGCTACAACATGAGGTCTTGTCCAACTAAATGCACAAAATAAAACATTTACGAGTCAGCACTTTCTGTGGGCTGCGAATCAGACGTAGGTGATGATGGCCCGATGGCTCTCACTAGGTTGAGGGGATCTAAATCCAAGACAACTGACTCAAAAGACCAGTGGCTAGTGTCCTCGATGCCCCTGGAATCTTTCCTGTTTTCTATTGGTAACTGTCTTCCCTCATAAGGGAAATAAGGGGGGAAGAGTGATAGGAACTACTGTACTTTTTGTGACCCAGTTTTGAAGTCTAACACCCCCTCCACATTCTGGGAATAGGTACAGCAAAGAGTTTGTGAAATTTGTGTGTGTGTGTATGCAAGTGTGGGTGCAGGTGTGTGCGTGTCAGAGAAGACAACTTGTAGGAGTAGGGGCTCCAGGGATCTTCTTCTCCAATCCTCCAGTGCTGGAACTGTGTGTGTCGCCATTCCAGTATGTTTGTGCACTGTGATCATGTTTGGTGCCTGTGGAGGTCCAAAGAGGTCATTGGATTACAGATGTTTGTGAACTACCATGTGGGTGCTGGGATTGATCCTGGATCTTCTGCAAGAACAGCAAATGCTCTTAACTTCTGAGCCAACTCTCTAGCCCCTTGTGATTGTATTTTAAAACCGTGCTGCTAATCACACCTGTGGGAAGAGAGCACTTACTCATTCCTCTAATTAAAGCTGGAGTTCCACACTGAACATTCACTCGGCTTTCATGTGAGAATGACTGACTAGACAGTTGGTCTTGGGACAGGGCTTTTCCGAGGGAAGAGAAGTGTTCAGTCACCAGGATGATGTTGAGCACTTGGGAAAGCAGATTTCCCTGTGGAAAATTGAGACAGTCAGCTGGGCAGTGGTGGCGCACGCCTTTAATTGCAGCACTCAGGATGCAGAGATAGGAGGATCTCTGTGAGTTTGAGGCCAGCCTAGTCTGCAGAGCAAGTTCCAGGACAGCCAGAGATACACAGAGAAACCCTGTCTCGAAAAATAACAAACAAACAAACAAACAAAACCATTAACTAGAGAAAAATACGGTCACAGTACTAAAAAGAAGGCACAGGGCCAGGTGGTATTGGTGCACACCTTTAATTCCAGCACTCAGGAGGCAGAGGCAGGCGGATGTCTGTGAGTTCCAGGCCAGCCTGGTCTACAGAGTGAGTTCCAGGACAGGTTCCAAAAGCCACACAGAGAAACCCTGTCTCGAAAAACCAAAGAAAAAGAAAAAAGAAAAGGAAAAAGGCACAAGTGTTGTCACAGCTGATTGATGTCCTGTGTTTACAGTTGGCATATAAAGTCACCTGATCCTGCAAGCTATAGATTTCTTTCTTTTTTTTTTTTTAAATATTTATTTATTATACAATATTATGTCAGTGTATATGCCTGCAGGCCAGAAGAGGGCACCAGACCCCATTACAGATGGTTGTAAGCCACCATGTGGTTGCTGGGAATTGAACTCAGGACCTTTGGAAGAGCAGGCAATGCTCCTAACCTCTGAGCCATCTCTCCAGCCCGATTTCTTTCTTTTTTAATGGCTAACGAACTCACGTGTTAGTAAGTGACTCTCCCAAGAGAGGCTGATGGTCATATTAAAGATTAGACATTCATTCAGACATGTGCACTCTTATGTGTATTTTCTGCCGGCCACCACTCTGCGTTGTCCTTGGACAGGGCGAGCAGTAACAATAAGTGTGTTAAATTTCTGGAAATCTCTGTCACGAGAACCCAGAGGGGAACCCTAAGCCACCGTGGTATAACGCATCACGGGAAGTGTCCCGGTGGGTTTTTGGCACATCTGTGTTCTACTTGCATTGTAGGAGCAGGTAGAGGAAGAGGGGCAGATGCAGAGGCAAGTGCAGAACAACAGTGTGATGGGGACAGATAGTGGCTGTGAGACGTGGGTAGGGTGGCAGGCAGACAGGAGCCAGGGATGGAAGGACTGGCGTTAACCAAGGTTTTGACTTTGTTCTGAAGTGGTCATGACTCATTCTAGACTCGTAACACGACCAGGAGATATTTTTGGAACATCTGAGAGGGCTCCAGAAATCACTGTGAGAAGTTTTAAAATACAACCTAAGTGGTCGCCATGAGGAGGACCTGGGGCTGTTGAGATGGCTCAACCTGTAAAGACACCTGCCACCAAGTCTGCTGATCTGAGTTGGATTCCTGGGTCTCACATGGTATAAGGAGAGAACCAGCTCCTGCAAGTTGTCCTCTGACTCCCACAAGTGCTGTCAATGGCATGCATGTGCCCATACACATGTAGGCACTCATTAAATAAAATAAAATGAAATGAAAAATATAAAAAGGAGGGGCTAGATCGACAAGATAGGTGAGTTAGGCTCTACAGGGTTTCTTAAATGTCCTGAATTTTACCACGCATCTCACTGAAAATTGATCTTGAAACCCACACTCTTGGTGTGATGCACTTCCAATCTCATTTGTAAGCGCCTTCACGGAACTTAGGTTTTTAGACTATAACATGTACAAAAATGCTGACTCCTAACTAAATAATCAGAAAGTAGGTGCTGACCACTCATGTGATTTATCTCTGAAGTGGAATACGTTTTAGAATGATCATAGGTTGAGCATGCAGGAGTCGTGTGTTAGTTCATTGGTGAAAACAGTTGGTTTTCTGTTGACCTCACTCAGTCTTGGTAGTTGATTCACAGAGCTGGTGTTCTCTATTTGTCTGTGAATGTATAGATGTGTCCATTAAGAAAGTCTTAAAAAAATGATGTGGCAGTCAGGCATGGTGGCAGAAGCCTGTAATCTTAGTATTTGAGAGTCACAGGCACACGAATCAGAAGTTCAAGTCAGCTAGATAGCACGTTGAAGGCCAGCCTGGGTAATAAGACCCCGTGTAAAAAACAAACAAAAATAAAAAAATATCTAGAAACAGACAACGACAAAAATAGCGATAAGAATTGATGCAAAACTTCAAGTAAATTGATGCAAATTAAAGCTATAATTTACCTTAATAGTCCCCTACTAAATGTAGGGGTGAAAAGGAATAATACGGATTCATAGGGGAATTGCAGGAAATAAGTCTAATCTAGACTTCAGGAAAAAAGTTTATCCCTTGGGCTAATCTATAAGACTTATCTGAGACCATTTTCTTCTGGGCTGAATATGGTCTGTGTGTGCACTGTGATAGTTTTTGTCTTAGTCAGGGAACCATGACCTTAAGATTTGTTCCGCTTTGAGAAATGATTGTGCCTCTGTGCTTTGTGGAGAGGCAGTCGTGTCCGCTGTAAACAACAGAACACTGTAACTCTCTTTGTCTCACATCTGCTTGGCTCAGCTGGAAAACCCGGTGCTGCCTGGTTGGTTGTTGGGGGCGTCTGTCTCAAACATCTCATATTTGAACCCAATTAGACTACAGGGACCAGTCTTGGAGGTGGTGCAGGTCATGCAGTGTAAAAGACTTTCTTTTGTTCTTTTTTTTGGGGGGTGAGGGGTGGTTTTGAGACAGGTTTCTCTATGTAACCTTGCCTGCTCTAAAACTCTCTGAGTTTGAGGCCAGCCTTAAACTCAAATCCACCTGCTCCTGCCTCCCAACTGCTGGGATTAAAGGTATTCGGGACCATGCCCACCTTGTTTTTGTGTTTTGTTTATTTGAGACAGGGTTTCTCTGTGTAACAGTCCTAACTGTCCTGGAACTAGCTCTTGTAGACCAGGCTGGCTTTTAACTCAGAGATCCTCCTGCCTCTGCTTCCTGAATGCTGAGATTAAAGGCATTTGCCACCACTGCCTGATTTTGTTCTTGTTTTTTAAGACGGGATCTTGTTATATAGCCCAGGCTGAATTTCAGCTCACTGTGGTGCCCTGCTTTAGCCTCCTGAGTCCTTTAATTACTATGTACGGTCATGCCCGTATATGTAAATATATATATATTTAAATATTTATTTATTATGTATACAATATTCTGTCTGNTGTATGCCTACAGGCCAGAAGAGGGCACCAAACCTCATTACAGATGGTTGTGAGCCACCATGTGGTTGCTGGGAATTGAACTCAGGACCTTTGGAAGAGCAGGCAGTACTCTTAACCACTGAGCTATCTCTCCAGCCCAATATATATATATATGAAAGAGAGAATAATTAGATAATGAGTATCAGGAAGTTCCCAAGAAGGACACAAGCTGAACACATGACAAGACAGAAAGTGGAGCCAGGCAGTGGTGCACACATCTTTAATCCTAGCACTCAGCCCTCAGGAGGCAGAGGCAGCTGAACATCTGAGTT